ATATACTATTTTGCAAATTATGAGAATATTTACTTCTTGTAATCTTGTGATAAGACTAAAATAGCAAATGAAAAATAATTCTGATTGTACTCCATGTACACCTTATCTTCTTCAAGTCACTCGCCTTGTCTCGAAATTACACGAACATTTGCGTTTAGCTGGGAGTGGATACCAATTACGCTTATGTTACCCGTTCTTTATTAATGATCCAGAACGACAAGCTCCTTTCACCGTAAAAGGTAAGTAACACATATGTAGCTGCAATTATTCGATAAGAAGAAAAAGAAAACTATCAGCCGAAAAGAAAACAGTTCTTCTTTCAAGCGTTCGGTTTTAACACGTTTAATATTGACATCGACGATTTTAAATAACGATCGTGCACAGTTACATTCATCTTGAAAGACAATTGACACTAAAAGCTCTATCGCCGAGCTCATCGTTTTGTTTTAGCGATTAAAGAAACGTTCGTATAATCAGTTAACTATTATCTTTCTCGATTTCCGTCACGTCAATCGTCGATGGAAATTGTTCGAGTAGATTAAACATGAAACATACTATTCTTTCCTAGTGCGCCAATTATAACACTACGATTCTCTGGGTACAATTGTGTAATTTTCTAGGCACGTATGCACATCTAGAGGTGCGCGATTCCTGAAAATACGCTTCTTTTCTAACAGCAGCGTTATCTTCAAAGATAATTAAATTTATTAACTGGCAACAACCGATACGATATAAGATAAAGTGCAGCGTTATTGTACATTCTACGTGTAGCTCACCACGTTCTTTAGATAAGGAACGTAGCCTACCAAAAGTAATAAATATTATCGTAGAGAATCATTACTTACAGGTTATCAATATTATTTTATGGCATTCTACAGAGGCTGACGCTGAAACGCATTGAGTTCTAAATTCTATGATGTAAGTTGTAATAGCGTAGCGCGGCGTATCGAAATTGCAAGCGAGTGGCACCGATTGAAGTCAATGTGAATCAAATGTATCTCAGTGGGACACCATGAATGGAATTTTACTTGGCATTACCTCATTCGATTAAACAGGAAACCGCAAATGCTTTCTTCAAACGCGTATTGAAAGATACAAATTTAATATATGTGTAACTAGATTTCTGAAGACTTTCCTTGCATACAGAAATACTGATATTAATTTTATAAAAATAATTTTTAAATGGCTGGTGACTACACAGATAGATTGCGAGTGAGCTGGATACTATTACGAATTCAGTAAAAGCAATAAGAAGCAGAGCAATATTCACTCCTTATCTAAATTCGCAGTGCTCTGCTCGCAATACTATACAGAGACTGCGTCACAATCGGATTTTTAGCGTTTGAACGACGTCCAAGAATTATTTCAAACGTAGTCTCATCCGAACGACTTCGTTATAACGTGTCAACAGGACGTTGTAGTCGATATAATTACCTAATGAAAATACAATTAACTAATACAATAAATTGATCGCGAACAGGAAAAACGTGAACGTATTGATTACTTCCAGGCGAAGCATTACGTGATTTACTAGGGGGAAAACCGTTTGCTCGACGTTTGTTTCGCAGAACTGAAGAGCCAAACATATGCGTTCGTTACACTTTGAATTTACAAAATACAGCGTGAGTCATTCATTAGAACCGTGCAATTGCTACGAGGTGAATAATACCTTACAATTTCGTGAACCAGCAGGCTTATTATCTTAAAACTGCAAGACGTAGAAAACTTAATTCGTTGAAGATGTCTGCACAAAACAGAAGCTGCCATAAATATAAACGATTTTAATTTTCTTCGCGGAAACATTTTAGGATTCCTCGTACGCCGACCGCGGAAAATTGTATTATTACCTTTGTTAAGTTTACGTAAAGCGTAAACACATGTGCGTACACATGTGCGTACAATAACTAACAATAATAATGACGTGAATCTTTAAACTTAAATTAAAAAGTATATTCTGTACTATTCAGAATTAAAACTTAAAGAAGTTTTTATCATTTCCACGCCAATCTGTAAAACCTAATCTTTCAGAGAAAGTATTTAATATTCTACATAAATCAACCAAACGAAAGTGCGCGTTTATTTCATTATCAGTCTCACTGAAATTGTTCTGTCGTAATTTACCGCGTCTGTTGCGCCATGAAAATGAGGAGTTTCAAGTTGTTTAATTGTAATTGATCGGTCGACTAAAATTATTCATATTTATCAACACTTTCGATAGTTTCAAGCATATTTTCCTAATTCTCGTGAAAGTTTCCTTGTTGTAAAAAACAAATAGTAAAAAATCGAGGCATTTTAATTATGATCATTATAATTGCAAATCACATGGAAGACGCATTAAGACGATCGGAAAGTCAACAAGCGAACCGGTAAATACCCTTGAGGAGGAGCCGCGGTGAAGAATTAAATGGTCCCAAGTCACGATTGGCATACTCTCAACCGTTCTAACTATATATGCAAATATACATACATGTACATACATATGTACCTCGCCGATTCTTTCACCTTCACGAAGGTTAAAAGAACGAGATGCAGCTAGCCATTTGTAAAGATTTAATCTGAAGTGAACAGCCTCGTCACAACCGCCGAATATAACAGTTTTAATTTTAATTGAAAAAGAGAAGAGTTTATAAATTATAATTGTCTCTACTTTAATTATTAATTTCAAGCGTTGAAGGTTAAACCATTTATTAATGTAAAGTTATTCGCTTTTTTCTGGTCCATAGAATTTATTAGGTATTCGATACTACGACAATGTGCATTTATGTGAAGATCGCATTCTTAGATTATCATTATACGAAGAAGTTAATTAATCTGATATAAACTACTTCTGCAAGTCCAATCAGTGAGTTCTTAATGGAGAGACAAAATCCGAGTATCAATGTAATTTCAATTAATTTTAATTTTGTGATAAGAAAGATCATGCTCTATTTATAGTTTAGAAAGAGAAAGAAGGGGAAATTTTTGATAAAAGAGAAACGCGAAGAACAAGTCTTTTTAATAGAACGGCGTCGCGTGAACACGATGCTAATTGGACATTCCAATTCGACGATGGATTCGGAACGTAAGACAACAAAAGAATTCAAAGTACACCGAATATTTTCTAGCAAGCTATAAATGGAAGCGGCGACAGAATTGCGTGATACATTCTGGCATAAGAATGTGTGTTTGGGTAAAATTTGTTTAGTCTGGAAGCGGAGAATCGACTACGATACACCAGACTGTGGAGCCATATATTTTTAAATATGTACGAAGAAGAATTTTACATTTCGCGGTTCACCACACTGACCATTAATATTTCTACTTCTCTCAACACCGTCTCCTTGCATTGAACTCTAACGCAATTTCAAGTGTGTTTACTACAGTGAAGATAAGCAATCAAGAAGATGACTTATTACAGGATGTCCGGTAGTATAACTAATAAAACGAAGAAAGTAGACATAAAATTGTAAATATGAACTTGCTTCGAATACTTAGTGTTTCCAGTTGCACATATGTAATTCTGTAATAAACTTTACAAATCCCATCAGCCACTACTATTCGTAAAGTCCATCGACTTCAAAATTACAATAAATGGTAATATCATGTATGGAGAACAAATTAATCACGCACGATGTATGTTTTATATACTGAATCAATGAGAACAGAGAACAATACTTACACAATTGTTACATTTTATTGATTTCTCTTATTTTCTAATACTTAACAACAAAAAACAATGCTCTTATTTTTCAGTTCATCCTAATGAATCAATTTTTTGCGATTATGTATCACCTATTTGTTGGCTGTACATATTATCAATAAGATTTATCACACATTTCATGTACGATACTCTGTACGAAGTTTCTATCATAAAATACGAAAGGCAGAGCTCGTGAAAGACAAGGAGAAAAAGAATAACGAGGAGCGAGCCAGCCGTACGGCGTACGTGACCGACTGCACTTCGTTCAAATCCCACTACCGTTTCGATTCTCCCGTTCAGTACCCGAGCTACCCAAAAGATCGTTGCAATTTCGGGATCCTGACCTTCTCTGCCTACCATCGCTTCGCCCCTCTCTTTTTGGACCGCCTACTACAAGATTAAACGCCGATGATTACAGGGACGAGTGAGGGGTCTTCTTTTTCACCGATAAAGCAGACGCCTTGCTGATATCATTCATTCGGATTTTATAACGAAACAGGAACCGTGACGTTTTAAGAATCAATGACTAATTCTGTTTTTGGTTGCGTGGACGCTGCAGAATGCGATAGATCATTTTCTTTCCTTGACACATAATATTATGCGAATGATTCAAATTCTTTCTATTCTCGGATTTCTGTTCACAGTTCGCTTTCTACATTAAAACGAGAATTGACAGATGTTTTCAAAACACAAAATGATTAGGATCTAACGCACAATTGTTCGATAAGTCGAAGGATTAAATATCTGACGAACTCCGAATTTTGCAAGTTTAATTTTGTATCCGATGTTTGATCTGCATCACGAGTTTATTTTGTATGCGAATATGCGTTCAATTTTATATTTTTCGTATAGCAAATAAATGTATGATTTTCTAAGAAAAGGTACGTGGAAATATGTAAACCTCAATATCGAAACATTAGATAGTACATGAATTATAAATACAGCTATGAATAGCTGATTAATCAAACCAAGAATCTGCATCTGCTTATTACAAAGTATAAAGTGAAGACTAATAGAGACTTATTGCTGTGATAATTTAATTGAAACGGTATTATGAAAAATATATAATTATTTAGATTAAGCAAAAATGAACAAATTATCAATAAAGATGTGTACATCGTCGCTTACCTTTGTTCTTCCATTGATAGTGTAATTGCTCATTTTCCCATTGTTGCACATTTTGTTCGCCCTCATGATGACTGCATCAACTTGAGATATGAGCATCCCAATGTTCTGACACTGTTTCTCTTTTCCATCAAGCCACGTTATTTGATCACCACGAATTGTTTTTAAATCATTCGCACTCGCTTTATTAGAAACTAACTGTCCATCTTTAAATAAACCAGCACTATACATATTCAAAACTTCGTTCAACACTGCGAGACCCTTCTCTGCTCCCAGGAAATTGTCTACCACACACATCCCATATTCGTTCATGTCCCTGATCACGTTTCTGCTCATATCGTCGATCAGTTTTTCGAGATTATTTTTATTGTTGTGCCGAAAGGGTGGCAGAAAATCATCTTGCTCACTAGTCAAACGAACTTCAGGGAAATTCTTCATACCGTTATGGTGCTGTTGAGTAGGCATCTCTAGTTCATTGTCCTGTATATTACGAAGAATCCCTGAGCTTTCAAGAGCTGGATTCAACGATTCAGTTCTGGCACCTAAAATCGTGTCCTCAGAACTTCCTTCATACGTTATTGGTGAAGTCCATCCATCTACTCTGCTAGTACGAGTACCTTTGGCCTTGGTGTTACTGGATTTCTTCTTAGAATTTTGACTTCCCTTGTTTTCCAATTCTGCTGTTACTTCTGCTTTTTCGTCAGTCCCTATAAACAGTAAACCGTGCACTAACTTCTTAGACGAGACGAACTAAACAAAGAAGTACAGAAACAAATTTTGTGTACGTTCATTTAATCAAAATGTTAAATATTGAAAAATTGCCATGGAATGAACATCTTGATAGAACCGAGCATACATTTGACAGCCATATGATTTAATTATCATAATTTCAAAAGAGAAAGAGAAACATACTGAAAAGTTTACCACGTACCTCCAAGATGTAACGCCTTATTATGCTGAGCAGCGTCCGATCCTCGCGTTCTTCCCAATGTTGTCTTCTCGCTTAGGTTAGAAACCACTGGATTAGTTGAATTCTGGCAGCTTTTTAGGATAGATTCTTTCGATGATTTCAAAATGATGTTTTGATTAGCGTTCGAAATAATGTTCGGGACGATCGACTCTACGGAGTGAGTCGTGCAAAATTGTTTATGACGTTTCCAGTCCCGTCTCTGATGTTCCTTACTGCAGTAGAAGACGGCCTTGCACCGTGAACACCTTAACAGCTTGTCAGTCCGATCGCAGACAACACAGCTCACCGCTGCTCCAATTTGAACAACACCGCCGAGTGTCTGCGCACGACTGACTATCGGTCCGGACATGTTTCGTCGTTTATTTCGCGGCCACGAGTGCCGACGACATTTCTCCAACGAGGGAAGTCACACACGCACTCGATTTGCGTACAGGCTACGGTACTAGAGCGCTATCGAAACGACGGGATACCGCAGTACGCTTATGCTTATATACACGCACGATCGCGTTTGGTTTACACACGTCTACGTATATATACATATGTTATCGGATCTGCAAAAGACTTATTGGCAAAACAGTGATCAGAACAGCGATTCTTAATGTCGTTAGATGTTAGATCTTGCTTGCACGTAATGCCACTGCAGTACAATAACGTACACGTGCATTCATCGATACTTCGAGTCACCCTGCTCCTCCTTTCAGTTCTTTTGTCGAGCGCCACTTTATATAGCCACGATTTTGCAATGAGGAGCATGATTCGTTAAATTTGCAAAGACCGTAACTATACGCAATTGTAAATGCTTGAATGTTATACAATTTTTAAACATAAGTAACGTAATAATTAGTTCAAGAGTAAGAGAGAATTATGTATCTACTTATATGTACAGAACGCAATAAAAGGTCTTTAAAAACGAAGATTACGAATATTTATTATTCGTGTTACTTTGAATCACTAACTTTCATTATGTTTTCAAATCTAAATGTAAGAAATTCCCCCTATGTCTAAAAAAGCCATTGTTCCCATGGTTACAATATTCTCCTTTATATCACAACATTACCTACCGTATGTATACATTAGGTGACTAAAGCATTTAGGAGCTGATGGTGCACAGAAGTGTTATAAAAAAAGGATGACTACTTTCATACAAAATGTGCATATTAAAGATGGGGAATACACAAAAACTATTTACTCAATGGTAGAATACACATTAATATTTTATGCTAGTATTTAAAAGTAGTCTTAATTATCTGGAAGTCGTTTTCAGATTAAAGAACAACGATATTCGGAAACAATAAAAATCTTACTCACACTTCTAGATTTTTATCCTACCGTATGTATACACAGAAACATGAAATTTATTAAAGCATTATACCGTTTAAGTAAATTGTTTTGCAGTCTAGACCTTGTTTGTCCCTCCTCGCTCACTGTTATTTTTATACACAAGATTTCATAGCTTCAGCACATTGCTATGAAAAGTTAGTTCAATTATGTCCAAATGAGAATATATACAAGTTGCACCATGCTCAATCTTTACATCAAGCTTGCATGTATCAAGAGGCTTGGACAATATGTTCCAATATTGTTCATCAAAGCAACTTAGAATTCAAAGTAAAGAAGCTACAAGCAGCTATAAAATATGGTCAAGAAGATATGGTTGCTGCAAAAAATCTTGTTGATCAATGCCCAGCGGATGATGTTGATACAGAAATTAATTTAGGATGTTTATTGTATAAGGTATCAAAAAATATTTAAAGAATAAGATTCCTTTACTAGGAGATTAATTTCTACTTTTCTTTTAGGAAGAACAGTATGAACAGGCTCTAAAAAAATTTGCAAACGCATTACAGATTGCAGGTTTTAAGCCACATTTATCATATAATGTGGCACTTTGTTATTTTAAATTAAAAGAGTATACTGCGTCATCAAAACACATTGGTAAAAGTCATATAATGTTTAATTAAATCTGATGTAAGCTACAAGTTAAAGTAATTTATTTTAATTCGTTACATTATATCAGCTGATATCATCGAGCAAGGAATAAGAGAACATCCTGAATTAGGAGTAGGCATGACAACTGATGGAATAGAACTACGCAGTGTTGGAAATACATTGACGCTTCATGAAACAGCTTTGACAGAAGCATTCAATTTAAAAGCAGCCATAGAATACCAATTACAAAACTGTAATTATGCTTCGTAAGTGAAGTTTTTTTTATAATGTATCTATTACGAACTTTATTCACTGCTCGCAGATGAAGCAGCAAAAGAAGCATTAACAGATATGCCCCCAAGATCTGAAGAAGAACTTGATGCTGTTACTTTGCACAACCAAGCTCTAATAAATATGGATACGAAACCAAGCGAAGGATTTGAAAAACTTCAATTTTTATTACAACAAAATCCGTTTCCACCAGAAACTTTCGCAAATTTATTACTGTTATACTGCAAATACCAATATTATGATTTAGCAGCTGATGTTCTTGCGGAAAATGTTCATTTAACGTACAAATATTTAACGCCTGTGAGTACGATCGCATGTAACGTGTATATGTTATGAAGAAGTCTTTCATAGTAGTGAACTTTAATGAATATTTTATTCGTCAGCATGTCTACTTCTTGAATGTTTACATTTCTTCGAATGTTTGTCTGAACTTCCTGAATGCTTCCTCTTATGAGCTTTCATGTCATGACTAGAAAAACTGTCGCTCGAACTATTACTACTAGAAGAACTATCATACTTCTTCTTTTTTTTCTTTTGATCCTTGGAATATTTCTTTTTCTTCTTTTTGGCTATCTTGTCGTCGGAATCGCTCTCATCTGAATTGCGTTTAGCTTTCTTTGCTTTCTTTTTCTTCTTTAATTTCTTTTCTTTATGTTTGCTCTCCTTCTTACTTGTATCAATTTGTGTTTCAACAGCAACTTCTTCAATCTCTGGGATCAATTCATACTTCTTTCCATCAGGACCCATAAAACAATCTTTCGACAAATGACCAGCAATACCACATTTCGTGCATGTAGTATTAAGCACCGCTTCTAAATGTATAGCTTTACGTTCGTGCCTCTCAATAGTTTTCTTTCTTTGCATATCTCTTTGCCATTGTACTCCATTTGGATCTAAGTCCATACCATTTCCCTGATTTACATATTTCATAGACAACCCTATTTTACCATCATCTCCAATAGAAATAACTTTACACCACACACGTTCTCCTTTTTGTAAAACTTCTGCAACATCATCAACATGAGCAGAGCTTACCTGGTCAAATTGCAAAAAAATCCCTTGACTTATAAAATACAAACGACTATATCAATTTAAACAAATTCAATAATACCTGTGATTTGTGTATTAAACCTTGAGAAGAGCAACCGGGAATTCTAACGAAAGCTCCGTAATTTTGTATCGATGCAACTTCGCCGAGAAATAGTTGATTCAACTTACATCCCGTCATTCTTATTTCGACAGAAATTTTCGAACTTATATAGCAATTCGTTGTTCAATATTGGCGATAATATTAATAAATAAGCGTTAGGCAGGCTTGAGTCGATGGTTAGGTTTGTCAACAATGTTCACTGCAGGGCTGTAGTAAGCTAACTGATTTGAGGGTACGAACGAAATGAAGAACCATGCACTATCCATTTTTATCCCTTTTCCGCACACGATTCATTAAATTTTAGACGGATTTTATGAAATTTACAAAAATACGTTTATCCTCAGTATTTGTACGATTTCCTGGATGCTTTAATTACGCAACAAACTTCGCCGGAAGAAGCATATCGGAAATTTGACGATCTCGGTAACAAGCATATGGAAATATTACGAAAAGCAACTAAGCGAGTACAGGAAGCACGATTAAATCATGATGACCCAGCTGTTAAAAAGGCTGTGAACGATTACGAAGAAGCTTTGGAGAGATACGTTCCAGTTTTGATGGCACAAGCCAAAATTTACTGGGAGCTCGGGAATTACACACAAGTCGAGAAAATTTTTAGGAAGAGCGTAGAATTCTGCAACGAACATGATGTATGGAAATTAAACGTAGCTCATACCCTTTTCATGCAAGAGAACAAGTTTAAAGAAGCGACAGGATTTTACGAACCGATAGTTAGAAAAAAATACGATAACGTTAGTTATCTCAGTCTCAACTCCATTTATACATGCTACAAGATCGATATAAAATGATATTTAAATTTCAGATCTTAGATGTAAGCGCTATAGTACTTGCTAATTTATGCGTAAGTTATATTATGACGTCTCAAAACGCTGAAGCTGAAGGTTTGATGAAGAAGATAGAAAAAGAAGAGCAAGCAGTCTCGCGCGAAGATCAGGATAAAAAACTGTTCCACTTGTGTATCGTAAATTTAGTAATCGGAACATTGTATTGTTCTAAAGGAAATTACGAATTCGGTATATCTAGAGTAATGAAAAGTTTGGAGCCCTACAATAAGAAATTAGGAACGGATACTTGGTTTTACGCGAAACGATGTTTCCTTTCTCTTCTCGAGCAATTAGCTAAACAACTAGTAGTTTTAAAAGATACAACGCTTCAAGAGTGTGTACAATTTTTAGAGCATTGCGAAGGTATATTGCCTTGTCGTATCAGATAAAATATTCAAGTGCTGTTCAGAATTACTTATGATTTTCCCGTTTTAGTGTACGGGAGGGATGTGATAACAGTGGTGGAGCAGCCTTTTGACATACAAGATATGCTTTCCATTACTCCGCAAAGCAAACAGACAGTCATTTACGAAGCGCGATTCTTGAAAGCTTTATTTTCAAAATTGCAAATGTCTTAATAAACGTATATTTACGTATATAATGCTTATTAAACGTGTAAAAAATAAAATATACGTATTACATAAAGTATATCTGATTTTTATTCAATTCTCCCTGTTTAATTAAATTTTTGGAATCTTATTTTACTATAAAAACCTAATTAAATATACCCGATGTTCTACCAGTGAAAAGAACTTTTAAATTTATCTGTCTGTACTTATCAGACACGGGAACCTCTTCGAAGAACATATTTCACAATTTACTAAGTACACTACTGTAAATAAAGATGGTTGTCGACATGGAATTACAGGAAGCTAAGGATTACGTTCTTCAGCTTATGAAAGATAAAGATAAAATTGAAGCAGATCTGAAAGCTTTGGCAGAAGTCTTAGAAACCGTACGTACATTAAAATATATTATATGCTTATGAAAGATATCGTTTAATCATATTACCAACAATAAACCAACCTTGTTTTATAAGAGAATGATCTGTCAAATTTTTAATTACATGTTTATATTGTATTTGCGTTCACACGAATTTTAGAACCATGTTGGGATGGATGATCCGTTGGTCGATAGTGAAGGATATCCACGAAGTGACATTGATGTCTATCAGATCAGGCACACGAGACATAAGATAATATGTGCGTTTAATTATTATTACAATTTTCTCGGCTGAGATTTTATAAACTTGAACTTACTAGTATGTTGTTAAGCATAATTAGGTCTCAAAAATGATTATAAAGGATTGATGAACAAAATAGAGGAGGGCTTGCACAAGGTGCATGCTCTATCAGGAAATCAAGCAGAAAGTTCTATTCCAAGTACAACTAATGATATTCAAGATATGGTGCAACTGGACCCTTTTTTAAGAGTAAATTTAGTATCTCCAAACTCTCCAGCAGAAATAGCGGTAAGAAACATAATGTGAGTGTCTGAAAACTTGTTACTAATAGCTCTCTTTTACATAGGGTATTAAAGTTGATGATCTCATCCTTGAATTTGGCTCAATTGACTGTCGAAATTTTAAATCATTGAAAGATATTGGAACTCTGGTACAAAACAGTAGATATAAGACAGTTAATGTAAAAATTAAACGTGGATCTGATATCATAGCCTTGACTTTAATTCCACGTCCTTGGATTGGTAATGGACTTCTTGGTTGCAATGTAATACCATTAGAGATGATCGAAAGATAAAGTTTCTAAATGAAATTTTTGTTTATAATATTATGTTGATTTTGTGTGAATATTAATGAATAAAATAATATTTATACATTAATACATTTATAATTATTGTCATGTCGAACGAGCTTGTAGTTGGTATTAAAAAAATATTAAAACTATAATCCAGAGATGTTAGGCATTTAAACCTTGAAATTCTATACATATAATCTATCATTCCTTTGAGGATTTAAAGAGTTGCAGTTAGTATAAAATCAGGTAGATTCTAAGGAGCAACAATCAGTATTGGAAAACATTAGCAAGATGCCTCTCCCACTGATTGTAAGTTATTATCAATCGTAATTTCATATTACTTCGTTCCTAGATAACTATAAAATGATTTCGTACATAGGTAATACTGAATCTAATCGTTTGCACATGTCAAGTGTTAAGTCAAAGCAATACTTATGATTACTCTGACCAACGCCCATGGTCACTTGTTTATGCATTATATCCATTCTATAATACTGAAACGTTACTTCAAGTATGGAGAGGTGATAACGCAGTTGATATTTCCGCAAATGTAATAACAGTAACGCCGCAAGAACAAGAGCAGAGAGATTTATATTCCGAGGACGTCCAACGTAATAACACAGGCTTGAAGTCCCAAAATAATTTCTCTTACTTTTCAAACGACTCAAGAAATATAAATAAAGAACAATTATCAACGAACCGACAACGGCTTTCGAATTATGTAAGNAGCTTGTAGTTGGTATTAAAAAAATATTAAAACTATAATCCAGAGATGTTAGGCATTTAAACCTTGAAATTCTATACATATAATCTATCATTCCTTTGAGGATTTAAAGAGTTGCAGTTAGTATAAAATCAGGTAGATTCTAAGGAGCAACAATCAGTATTGGAAAACATTAGCAAGATGCCTCTCCCACTGATTGTAAGTTATTATCAATCGTAATTTCATATTACTTCGTTCCTAGATAACTATAAAATGATTTCGTACATAGGTAATACTGAATCTAATCGTTTGCACATGTCAAGTGTTAAGTCAAAGCAATACTTATGATTACTCTGACCAACGCCCATGGTCACTTGTTTATGCATTATATCCATTCTATAATACTGAAACGTTACTTCAAGTATGGAGAGGTGATAACGCAGTTGATATTTCCGCAAATGTAATAACAGTAACGCCGCAAGAACAAGAGCAGAGAGATTTATATTCCGAGGACGTCCAACGTAATAACACAGGCTTGAAGTCCCAAAATAATTTCTCTTACTTTTCAAACGACTCAAGAAATATAAATAAAGAACAATTATCAACGAACCGACAACGGCTTTCGAATTATGTAAGTGTTCACCAATTTTCTGTAATATAAATTGTTCATATTTTCTGTTTCTAAAGTATTTATTCTTATATCGCAGAGGAGCAAACGTAAAGATATTAGCTCTCAAAATGAATAACGTCCTGTGGCTTTCGATCGGACCGAACGATAAAGGAACGATTCACGCAAAATAATTTCTTTTTTGTTTTAAACCGTAGTGTCGCTATATTTCGCATTACATTGTGAAAGTTATATGCATGCTATATGCTTGTAGAAGATTGTCAAAAGTATATAAGTATTAAAGTAATATTTTACTCACATAATGATTCCATTTACTCGATCGCCGTAACCCGTGCAACCGTAACGGTCTCGATCACCTTACGCACTGTCAAAGTGTAGTGTTTTACTGTGACATTACAATAATTTTCAAATCTCGGGGAGACTAACTTCAGATGCCTAGTACATGAAACTCAAATAGCAGCTAACTTCTCGACACAACCCGGTGTTCAATTACATCCCATGTGGGCTATCATTGCTAACATGGGTACGTATAGAAATTATATGAAGCTGTTGGAATCTTGGCCATTGGATAATACAAAACCCGGCAGGTAATTTCATTGACTAATTTTAATTTATTATTCTCCTCTAAATTCTCAGTATTTCTTGATATAAATGTAATTGTAATCAAGTTAGTATATCTCTATAATTTACGTATAACTTTCGTTATACCAGGTTATCTTTATTATTACTTGCCTTAAACGTTTCAATTCTAAATGTAGTTGATGTTTTATCTGAGTTTTTATTCGTTTAATAGTATTTAAGTGGAATATTTGTTCTTACTGTATTGTCATTTATATTTATTTTAGGGATCTAGCTCAACATATACGTGATCAATTGAAGCTTGCATTTGCAAAGGGTGAAATTAGTGAGGTAAATCAGGAAGAGTGTGACCGTTATTACACCAGTCTGAAGAAGATTTCTACCAACCATTATGGGCAAATGTATAGACGTACCCTTGAGAGCAGTGCAACTGGATTAACGAAAGATCAGTGTAATTTAATGCTGTCACCAGAAGCAATACGTGTCTTCGAGGAAGAAAGTAAAGGGTTTTTCGCACGTATATCTTCAAAATTGTTTGGAAATATTATTAGAAAAAATGCTTAATGGGATGGTTCATATACATAGATATAGTGTAAGATACTTGAACAGAAATGTGAAGAATTTATGTTTGCAACAAAGTAACGTAATATATTTAGGGAGTAATAGGAAATGTAGTCAAGTAGCTTCTGAAGCTAGTAGCAATATTGAAAATGAAGTCCATGTGCCTGTTATGGCCAAGGAAGTGTTACAATATTTAGAACCTTCGCCAGGGAAGATTTTTGTCGACATGACGTTTGGTGCCGGTGGGCATTCTACAAAAATTTTAGAGAGTTCCGATGGCGTAAAAATATTTGCGTTGGACAGGGATCCTGTCGCATATGAGTATGCACAGAAGTTGTCAGAGAAATATCCTGGCCAAGTAATACCTTTGTTAGGGAGATTCTCTGAGTTACCGCAATTGCTTTGTAAATATAAGGTGGATGTCAATAGCATAGATGGATTTCTGTTTGATTACGGTTGTTCATCTATGCAGTTTGATGTTGCTGAAAGAGGATTTTCTTTGTCAAAAAATGGGCCTTTGGACATGAGAATGGATGGATTTAGATGTCCACTTGAACCCACAGCTGCCGAAGTTTTAGATCTAATCACAGAAATAGATTTATGTCGTATATTAAAAATCTATGGTGAAGAGAAAGCTGCTAAAAAGATTGCACGTGCCATTATTGAGGCTCGACACATGTTTCGAAGTTTGAGAACGACACAAGAGTTAGCGCAAATCGTTGAATCTGTAATCACTGGAAATAGGCTTGATCAGCTTGGTAGGCAGGCTCATAGTGCGACGAAAACATTTCAGGCACTTAGAATTTTTGTGAACAATGAATTGAACGAAATTAATTATGGTATCGTTCTCGCTGGATCATACTTGAAGACCAATGGTCGTTTAGTAACGATAGCTTTTCATTCTTTAGAAGATACTATTGTCAAAAGGCATATCTCCGCAAACATACACGAAACTGTAGCTAATAGAGTGCCATTAAAATATTCAAATTACGGTAGAAATTTTAACAAAGAGGAAATGGCAAGATTCAACAGAATACCTTGGAAAATGTTACATAAACACGTAATAACACCTTCACCAGAAGAAGTGAATGTTAACCCGAGATCACGTTCTGCGAAATTACGAGCGATTAGTAAAGTGATTTAAATTATCGTCTTTATCATTAAATTTGTAAATACAAAATGTACATGTTTTTATTAAGATCGTTCAAATACAAATGGGAATCTATTGTATTTGATTTTATGTAGTGTACGCATNACTTATTATTGCTATAAAACTACTAATTGTTATAAATAATCAACAGCACGTAAAATAATTGATTACGCCCAAGACATTGAAACTTGTGTGTAAGAAAATAAGGAAATATTTAATATTTAAAACAAGCCTTCGATCTCGTCTGTCTCACCGTTCCAGTCCATATCGTAAATGCTTGGTCTCGTAGAAAGACCTGGCATCATCATTATCTAGAAAAATAATATTACGATTGTATATTATAAAATTTTATTAATCACCGATGTACTTACTTCCCCTATCATAGGTACCACGAAGCCTGCTCCTGCAGATACGAATATATCTGAAATATCGAGCTTGAAGCCTGTAGGCGCTCCTTTAACTGCAGGATCGCCAGTTAAAGAATTCGAAGTTTTTGCCATGCAAAGAGGTAACTTATCATATCCCAATTCACTGTACTTTTTGATTTTTTCTCGGACCTAGTAACAATCGTAATTTGTTTATAATTACACAAGTTACATATGAAGAAAGTAGCGGTTTACAAATTTCATTAATATACCTCATCTGTCAATACAATTTGTCCAGCACCATACATTTCCTTGGCAATGGTATTTATTTTTTCTTCGATACCGATATTAAGGTCGTATAAAAATTTGAAATTATTAGGTTTACTTGTGGCAGCTAAAACTGCATCTGCAAGTTGCGAAGCGCCTGGACCACCTTCGGCCCAGTGAGTGCATATGACTGCTTCAGTTGCACCGCTTTCTATCGCAGCTTGTCTCACTAATTCCAACTCGGCTTTCGTATCAGTACTGAAATAATAGTATACAATCTTTATATTTAACGTAAATTGTTTCGAATTAGTTTCGTAACGATGAAACTTACGCATGAGTGTTAATAGCGACAATGACTGGCACGCCATACTTAACTCCGTTACTAATATGCTTTTGAAGATTCGGTAGACCTTTTTTAATTAAATCAAGATTTTCCTGCACATATTCTTTTTTTAATGGAGAGCCGGTTATTACTGGCGGTCCCCCACCATGCATTTTGAGCGCTCTCACAGTTGCAACGAGCACCACAGCGCTTGGCACGTGACCAGATGTTCGACATTTAATGTTGAAGAATTTCTCCATACCTATATCAGAGCCGAAACCAGCTTCGGTCACTACAATGCCATCGGGTCCGACTAATTTTAACGCTATAGCATCTGCGATGATGGAAGAACAACCATGCGCAATGTTTGCGAATGGTCCAGTATGAACCATTACCGGTGTACCTTCCAGAGATTGCATAAGCGTTGGTTCAACTGCTTCTTTCAGTAAAATTGCCATTGCCCCAGTCATACCCTAAACATTATTGAAAAAACAGATTATTTATTTATCTATAAGTTCAGTAGTTTCGATAAAAGATGTACTAACAAAATCATCGGCAGTTAAAGGTTCTCCATTTTTATTGAAGGCAACCACCATGCTGCCAAGCCTTTCCTTCATGTCATCGACACTCGTGGCCAAAGCAAGTATCGCCATTATTTCTGAAGCGACGGAAATTCGGAATGATGTTTCTCGCGTTTTACCTTTTTCGGTTGCACTTTGACCGATGGTAATCTTGCGCAAGAATCGATCATTTGTATCAACCACTGTAAAAAGAAAGAGACTGTTTTACTTTATACATTTTTATATCGCTATTTGCTATAATACCTCGGGTCCAAGTGATGCGCTGCGGATCAATATCCAGTCTTGCGAATTTCCTTTTTTCCTCTTCGGTTAAGCTATTCGGGTCAGTTTTCGTGATACCCAATTTTTGCAAACGTCTCAATTGTATCTTCGAAAATTTCCTTTCATTCCTGATAGTGGGCACGAGACGATCGTAAAGAGCTTTATCTGTTTGAGTAGTTTCGTGGAAATATCGAGCGTCAATCTGAGCTGCTAAGAGATTATTAGCCGCGGTTACGGCGTGAATATCACCGGTTAAATGTAAATTAAATTCTTCCATAGGAATGACCTGAAATTAATATAATGTACTTTTCCCAGGAACACATGGTAATAAATTTAAAAATATTTCAAGTACCTGCGAGTATCCTCCACCTGCAGCACCACCTTTTACTCCGAATGTAGGTCCCTGACTAGGTTGACGTAATGTTGCAAATGTATTTACACCCTTTTGCCCTGTCAGTGCTTGTACCAAACCCAAAGTCGTAGTACTTTTACCTTCGCCGAAAGGTGTTGGCGTAATGCCGACAACCACCACGAGTTTCCCTTCTGGTTGGTCGTTTAATCGTTTTAAAACGTCCAAACGAATCTTTGCTTTATTGTTTCCGAAAGGCCTGATATCGTTCGGGAATAAATTAATTTCGTTAGCCAGGTTTGTAATTGATTTCGCATCTTGACTTCGTGATATCGTTATATCGCTAGGAACCGGCTTTTGCGGATTAATATTAAGAACTCTCAGATTCCATTTACAATTGGATGTTTTTTCTGCTGCGTTTTGAGCACTTATGACCGTGTTTTTCATTAGCATAGCCACGGTCATAGGACCGACGCCTCCGGGTACAGGCGTAATGTACGAAGCTACTTTCGCAACCTCTTCGTAATCGACGTCGCCTACTAATCGCTGTCCAGTTTTCTTAGTAGGATCTAAAAGTAAAATGCGACACGTTCTGATAATTAAGAAAAGCAGTAAGTTTCGAAATTGTAGTAAATAGAATCGAATCGAAATATCAATAAATACGATGCATGAAATTATATCCACCTGGCACGGAATTGATCCCGCAGTCGATTACGACTGCTCCAGGTTTAATCCAGCTTGCCTTAACCATCTGGGGTTGGCCAATAGCTACCACTAAGATATCAGCTTGCGAAACCTATAATCGGAATTAAACATACAGAGCTACTTACAGCCGTTCTACTGGTTCCTCGAAATAGTGTATGTCTCTCGCTACTTACAACTTGGGGAAGGTTCTTGGTCCTTGAATGACACACTGTTACAGTTGCATTATGCCACTTTAATAATTCGGCCACAGGAGTGCCGACGATTTTACTTCTGCCCAACACTACTGCTTGAGCACCAGCGATTTGCACTCCGCTCCTGATAAATATTATTTCGATTACTATACGTTACATTTAAAATAAATCGCTAGTTAATATGAAAAATGTTTTCATTAATTAAATGTAAATACATTTTAATCAGTTCGATGCACCCGTTTGGAGTACACGGATAGAATCCCGACATATCGCCAATAGCTACTTTCCCTTCGTTAATTGTATTTAATCTGTAAAAATATTATTTTAATGACATTTTATATTATAAACAAAAATAAGTTACGAACAACTTACCCGTCGACATCTTTTTCAGGTAATACTAAATTGGTAATCATATGGGAATCAATTTTATTGATACTGTCAAGCGGCATTTGTACGATAATCCCGTGAACGTCCGGATCATTGTTCAATTTATTTATTTTATTAATCAACTCTATTTCTGTCGTTGTATTTGGTAGTTTGATATGTTGCGCGGCGATTCCGATATCGTTCGCCGCTTTTACTTTCATCCTTATGTAGACATTTGAATCTTCCCTACCGCCTACTTGGACAATCGCTAAGCCAGGTACGAAATTTGGTAGCTTTTCCTTTAACGATTTCACATCTTTCACTAGGTTCTCACGAATTTTCCTAATAGATTAAGAAATTCGTGCAATATATTAAAAAGAAAAGAACTGAAAATATTATAATCGTAAATCAGCGAAGAATTTTTCATTTTTATATAATCTATTCTGATAGATATGTCGTTACTTTATTCGTATTTATAGATCGATAATTTATATAATGGATTATGATCATATATAGATAAGTATATTTTTAAAGTCAGCGGGCCTCAATGCGCGCGCACGCCCGTATGTTTTTCAAAGTGTAATAACAATTAATCCTTGGAGCGAAAAGGACTTTGCGTGTAATGATTAATCCTGTGCAAAGAATTTGTGTATTGTTAATTACTTTTTACGATTATATAATCAACTTTCAACACGTACGCATAACCTAACGTGGAAAAAGCATATTTTCATAAGGTAGGTTAAGATTTTTTAATCATTTCCATGATTATCCTGTTAAATATTGAAGAAGGTTAAGTCAATGAATATCGTCAATCTTTGTGTGAATATCGACAATTGGAATCTTAATTCGCGGTTTAACTTGCGTTTAGGAAAAAGTTTCAGTTAAAATGATTAATCCAAAGGATCGTGATCAAAGATCGATAAATTGTTCAAAGACTCAGTTTGAAATATCCAATATGTTTGAGTTGTAAGGCAGTTTAAAATGGATTTAATATGTTCTTTTCATTAGTTAAAACTTGTTATTACTTACTTTGCCAGTTCCGTGCCGGAAAGCACTGTGCCTCGGTTGCCCGTCGACATAACTCGATGGAAAAATCTGCAATCACAGAAAGAATCCTGTTCTGTTCCTACCGGTTTCCAGTAGGTAAGTACTTATAAAAAATCACCGTTACTAAGTATGCAAAACGGAATGTATATATCGGCACGATTAATGCGAATTTACTCGGAGATCGGTTGGTAGACGAATGTGAACGAATGAACAGTCTTGGTGTAAGCCAGTGTAAGCCATCGGCTACAGGCAATCAGTTGCCGACGACCGACGTAGGTACAACATATATACATGTATTTATCGTGATAGCGTATGTGAGTTCACACATTCAGACGTCCAGGCGATCGTTTGAACGCTTTGCTTTTAAGATTTACATAGAGCATTAATTACATACGAAATGGTAGTACTTAAAGGTTTGTTTTGAAGCTAACCGATCGTCATAGTTAATTTCTTTGATTTAACGTAATAAGTGTGATCACGAGTAAAAATAGCGTATTTTGGAAGATAAGATTAATGTTAAAGTATTATAAGAAATCTCGATCTTACTTGAAAATTTGCGGTATTCGTGTCATATGATAAACCATGATGATGATTCCGTGAGAACTAATGGTACTTTGATAAAGACGATCTTCATGGGGGGCAAACATATGATGCAAACAATGAAAAAAACATGTGAGTCGATATAATTTCGAAATTCCAGTTGATAAACTTTGACACAATTATTTAGAGTAAACTTATGAAGAAATCTTTGCTGCATAGTACTGCGAGGAAAACAATTTTCTTTCGTTAATTGGAATATTGCTTTGTATAATTCTCATAAGCGAGATTTGGAATAATTCTTATCGCATTGATATGAGAATAAATTTCGGTGTATAGATAGTATAGCTGTATTCATACACATAACTGAGAATGTTATTTTTACGTTGTTTTGATTAATAAGCGATTTATCAAATGTTATCAGTAACGTTAGAACTTCGCAATTACTTGCAATATGCAGAGGAACCGATCAGTATTTTAATATCGTTAAGAGTCACTGTACGAAATTTGAAAATTATATATTTTGATAAGCAATATTTCCAAAACCTCTAATGCAACGTATATTTGACAAGAATGTCAATTCCAAGAGAGTGTGATATTCATTACGAAGACGATTGCATGCTAAATATAATATGCTACATATTTTATATTGTTTATATGGTTATATTTTCACGATGTTTTATCTTATTGTTTACGTATGCGCAATATATATTTTAAATTTACCTTATTATACGTTGTTCAAAAAAAGGGAATTCTTAACAACGCGTTTGTTAAACAAAAGAAATTCGTAAAGGCTTGAAGTCATTTATTTCGGGCTTTGGGAACAGTTTCGAATTATAGTGTTCTCTGAAACTTTATGGGGAACTGCAAAAACAGCGCGGTCCCCGTTCTGTCCTATAATGCTTCAGGACCCGCGAGTCGATAAACCCATCTAATTTACCGCGGACAAGTTTCAAGACTAAGCAAAAACTAAATTTAATCTCTTTGATGTTATGACGATTAATTCTACTATCTGAGTGTTGTAACTGTTGACGAGCGAATAACCTTTTGAACTAATAAAATGTTACGCTAATCATGAGCTGGATACGACGACGGTCTGCTGCAATCTCTGCTTTCAGCTCCAAGTAAATGCGATCATTTCGTGTGCGCACATTTTATGCATTCCATAAAAAATATTGTATGTGATGCATTCATGCATTCAACTGTCTTGTACGAATTTCTTTTTTATCGTCTCAAGACATTTAAGGATGTATTGGCTATACAGTCAATCCCAAAAGTTTATATACTTCAGAAAAACGCATTTCCTA